TCTGTGGATTTAATAAATTATTTGGTGGAGTGTGAAGTTTCCTCCTCAGATAATGAAAGGTTAATGAAAACATTCCCATTCTAATAAACTATTTTTAATTCATATCTCATCTTCTCAGGACACCTACATTGACCACCCTATTAATTCTGAATTGCTTCTTGTCCTCTTTTGTACCCCTTCCCTGCTTTGTTTTACTCCATGACTCCTTTCACCAACTGCCATGTCATGGATTTTACTATTGTGATTTTTGTGATTTTGTTCTGTTGTGTATTGATTTGTTTTATTTTTTTCTTTGCTTCCTCCCCTTAAAATGTAAGCTCTACCAGATGATGTATTTCTATTTTATTCATTGCTGTGCTCCCACAGCCTAGACTGTCACATTTAAGAAGTCTTTAATAACTATTTATAAAAAAACAAATAAATTAATTAATTCACTTAATTTCCCAATGCTTATTAAGTGCCCTGCCACTATTGGTGATATGCCCTAATATTTATTGGACATTTGCATGTGTTAGGCACTGTGATAAGAACTCTGAGATGCATTGTATCATTTAATTCTTACAACAACCTCATAAGGAAGGTACTATTCTTATCACCACGTTACACTTAAAGACTCTGAATGTTGTTGAATTAAATTGAATTGTTCAGGAGCTCACAGTAAGTGGCAGAGTCCATATTCAATTCAAGACTCTACAGAGTCCATCCTTTCATTCTCCTACCATTTGAGTGAGGCCCAGCCCCTGCCCCCCAGGTAGCAGGGAGACCTGCTGAGCTTTAGAGGAGGCTTGTGTAGGAGCTACAAGAGCCTTGCTTGTGATAAAGGAACAGGCTTATTCTACAATAGTGTAGACTTGAGAAGCCCAGACTGACCCTGGCCTCTCCTCCATCCACCTGGAACCACCAGATCAGATAGAAAGGAGCCCAGAGTGCCCCTTTCAGACGACATCAGAGACGTTGCCCTCAGGGACTCCAGTGGCTCAGCCCCTCTGGTCCTTGCACAGGCTCCTCCCCAAGAGGCCAGCAGTAATTTGTTCAATTAGTTCACATTGGCTGTTTCTCTATTGAAGATCCTAGGTGTCTTCTCCCCCATATCTTCTTTCTGCTATAAATAAACCCCTCTTGCCCATTGTTCTATTGCTGATAAACAGACAAGCAAATTTATGAAGGTCCTTGGGCCATGGAGGCTGCATCTTGTCCTGTGCCTCCCCGGTCTCTTGGACAGAAAGGGAAGACTAAGGAAACAGCACAGAGCAGAAGGTATTTGAGATTTTTAAGGACTAGCATAGGTTAGAATGGACCAGGATTCTGCCCCTATAAACATGTGTGTGGGAACATGAGACTAGGTATATGTGTTCTGTGTATTTCTACCTGTAAGTGTCACTGACACACATGGACAGCCTCCACCTGGGATGTGCACTGATCATGCCAGGCTGGAAATCTCTGAGCAATGCATGTGCTTTAGGGGTTATGTCTATGTTGTCCGTGTACTGTTGGTGTGATTTTGTATGTTGCAATCTGAGTATCTGTGACTGTCTGTAAGTGCCTATATGTATGTGCTTCTATTATATGTTGTCCATAAGTTCTTTGTATGACTGTGCATTGTGAGCATTTTGCACATATGATTATTTATGAACTTGTGTGAAACAGTTTTGTGCCATGGCCATTTTCATCTAGGACAGTGATGGCGAACCTTTTGAGCTCGGCGTGTCAGCATTTTGAAAAACCCTAACTTAACACTGGTGCTGTGTCACATATAGAAGTTTTTTGATATTTGCAACCATAGTAAAACAAAGACTTATATTTTTGATAATTATTTTGTATATTTAAATGCCATTTAACAAAGAAAAATCAACCAAAAAAATGAGTTCGCGTGTCACCTCTGACACGCGTGTCATAGGTTCGCCATCACTGATCTAGGATATGCATATATCAGGAAAAAAACAGCAAATCATCCTTCAACAATATGTGTGCTGGATGTGTGTGTGTGTGTGTGAGAGAGAGAGAGAGAGAGAGAGAGAGAGAGAGAGAGAGAGAGAATATGTATAGAAGTGTGTGTATTGTTTTTAACACACTCACACTTCCACTAAATCGGAGTTTGAGTAGAATGGATAGGGAGAAAGTAGAAAGTAAAGGCTTGAAACTCTAAGAGCATGTGTATGCGTGTCTGTATATTTGCCCATGTATGGAACAGTCTCACTTTCTTTTTCCCTTTTTTATATATTTAAATACCATTTTTTAACATTCTTTATTAGTTAAGATATTACAAATGTGTCTTAATCCCCCCATTAACCCCCATCCTCCCCCCACCCCCGGCTCATGCTCTCATCCCCCTGTTGTCCATGTCCATTGGTTTGGCTTATATGCGTGCAAACAAGTCCTTTAGTTGATCTCTTCCCCTTACCCCCTCCCTCCCCTCCTTTCCTTCTGGGGATTGATAGTCCGATCGCTGTTTCTCTGTCTTGGGATCAGTCCCTGTTCATCAGTCTATGCTGTTCTCTATAATCCACAAATGAGTGAGATCATGTGGTATTTATCTTTCTCTGACTGGCTTATTTCACTTAGCATAATGCTCTCCAGCTCCATCCATGCTTGGAACAATCTCACTTTCTGATGTTCCTTTGGACTCAAGACCAGAACGTAGTTAGGCACTTACAAACTGGATCCACATTAAGCCCTATTGGGGCCATTGGACTATGTGGGTTGAATGTTCCAGTATTGCCCCAGTGCCCTGGGTTCATATTTCTCACTCTGGCCTTTAGCATTACCCATATTTATACTTAGGGAACATGGCAGCCTCATTAAGTGTCCTGGTTCGGGTGTCCTCAAAATCTGCTAGTTGTCCTCCAATAATTTTGTGGCCTTACTTTGATCTCTCTGAGGCCAGAAGCCTTAAACATAAATGAATAATAATAGCTCCTGTACAATATTGCTGGCAACAGTTTAATACATGCCAGGCACGCAGTAAGCCACCAGTCCCTGTGGCCAGTATATACCCTTCTTCAGATGGAGGCTGACTTTCCTGACTGCCCATCCAGGTAGCTCCACATGAGAGAATGCACTGTGCCAGTAGGGACAGCAGGCCCGTGCCAAAATTCTCTCAAACCTTACTTTACAGCTTCATAACTGAGCACAGGTCACATGACCATTTACACACAAGATGCAGGTTCCCTTCCCGCTGATTAGCTCCCTGACACCGCAGCGCTGTGCCTGCACACATCAGGTTTTCTGGTCCCTCAGCACCCCCACTTCACCTCCAGAGAAGCCAGAGCTCTTAGTGGAAGTCTCACCCAGCCATTGTCAATGAGCAGGGAGGCCTAGTAAGGGGTGAGGTCACCAACTTCCTCCTACTGTCCCATTGTCCCTGAGAATCACCCTAGTCTGGAACAAGAATCTACTGTCAGATGTGGATTCCCATGTCTTATGTCAGTTTCCTCTTCCAGGCATCATAAAATACGGGTATTTTAACTCTACCAGCCACTCCCTTGCAAAGAAATGGGAAGTGTCTGTTTCTAATGAGAAGAGCATTAGGAGAGTTCTCTTTGACATCAAGTTCCACCACCAAACACACTGTGTAAGTGACTTCACTGCTCAGGTTAGTAGAATGGAAAAGAAAAGTCTCTGTCTTCTCTCCTTCTCAGACACAAAATATATACTGACTGCATGTAGTTGAAAGTATGTGAAAGCTGTTTGCAAACTATAGGTTGTAGGCATATAAATGGCTGTAGGAATGAGTGATGGGCAGACATCTGAGCTGGTGATTAAGGTAATATTGAGCATAGAGATCCTCTTTCAAACACTGGAATAACATGCCTCAAGGCCTGACTATTTTGCTTAATTAAATACAGTGAGGTAGATTATGTTCAGTAGGAGCTTACACAATAAAATAGACACAAGGGGAAAAATGAAGACTAGCGGTTACTGGCCATGTGATGATGAGCTCATTTATTAACATTTCTTAGTTTCAGCATGCTTGCATGTGCACACATGCACACACACTACATAAATATATATACACAAAAATCCCTTCCTTTTGCCTGGCATACAGTTGAATACATGTTCAACAAATGTCAATTACATTAATATTGACACTGGGAAATAGTCACACTAATCAGGTAAATATTAATTCTAATAGGCATCACCAATCTTATAGCATCTATCAATTCTCAGGTCCCTAGGTGGTTACTGCATTTAAAATCTCATATATGAGCCAATTGATTCACTGAAATAGACTCAAAGAAATGAACAACAAAAATATGTAAAGAAAAAAATATTTTAATCTAAATTAAACAAATTTATAGGTTAACACAACTTTTAGATTAGCCACCTGCTCCTTTCTAATGCCCACCTCACATTTCTGGTATATTAGATTCCTAAAGATCAACCCAATATTTAAAAAACAACAACCAAGATTTATCTGGACACTCACACAGGCCTGAAGATGTCAGATGACATAGCTGTGCCCTTACTACATAAAGAACTCTGCTATAATATCATAACTCTCATGGGATCATTTAATTCTTCTACAAACCCTATGGGTAGGAATTATCATGCTTATTTGGTAAAGTTTAAAAAACAGGCCAAAAGGTAAACTGTTGAAACCAGCTAGAAAGTGGTGGAGTCAGAACCCACTAGAAGTCTAGTTTCAGATTCTCAGATACTCAGAAGCAGTTCGTGAAGAGGCGATTCCTTAAAATGTGAGCTCTGGAAGGAAGGAACTTTATCTTATTTTCTCCAGAAAATAGTTCAGTGCCTAACATGTTAGATAAATAAATGATTTCATCTGGTTTACACTGAAGGGCATTTTGTGGACCACTCTAGGTCTGATGACTCCCTCTTTATCTCCCTACGATGTGTGAGTGAGGATTCAGGCAACAGCATCTGAGAAATACCTGAGGAATTTCTCCATAGAAAATAGATAACCCAACTGTGTTAGCCATTATCATTATTTATCATCTGAGACATTTCTAATATTCCTTCCATCTAAGCAGAAAGAAGGGCAGCATGAGGAGGGAGAACCAGAGCAGCGGGTCCCAGTTCCTCCTCCTGGGGCTCCCCATCCCGCCAGGGCAGCAGGGCGTGTTCTTCACCCTGTTCCTGGGCATGTACCTGACCACGGTGCTGGGCAACCTGCTCATCATCCTGCTCATCAGGCTGGACTCTCGCCTGCACACGCCCATGTACCTCTTCCTCAGCCACTTGGCCTTCTCTGATGTCTCCTTCTCATCTGTCATTGTCCCTAAGATGCTCATGAACATGCAGACTCAGGATCAATCTATTTCCTATCCAGAGTGTGTAACACAGATGTATTTTTTCATATTTTTTGGTTGTACTGATACCCTTCTCCTTGGAGTGATGGCATATGACAGGTATGTGGCCATCTGTCACCCTCTACATTACACCACCATCATGAGGGAGGAGCTGTGCATATTTCTGTTGGCTGGATCTTGGCTCCTCTCCTGTGGCAGTGCTCTGTCCCACACCATCCTCCTGGTTCAATTGTCCTTCTGTGCTGACATTATCCCTCACTTCTTTTGTGACCTCGCTGCCCTGCTTAAGCTCTCATGCTCAGACATCTCCCTCAATGAAATGTTTATCTTTGCTATTGGGGGAGTGATCAGTATCCTGTCATTTACTGGGATTCTGGTCTCTTACATTCAAATTGGGGTCTCCATCCTGAGGGTCCCCTCTACCAAAGGTATGTACAAAGCCTTGTCCACCTGTGGCTCCCACCTCTCCGTGGTGTTTCTATTCTATGGGACAATTATGGGTCTGTACATTTTCCCATCATCAAACAACTCCAATGACAAAGACATAATTGCCTCAGTGATGTACACAGTGGTGACCCCCATGCTAAACCCCTTCATCTATAGCCTAAGGAACAGAGACATGAAGGGGGCTCTGGGGAAACTTTTCAAGAGGGAGATCCTTTTCTCTAAGTGACAGTGCCCTACTCGTTATTATCTCATCCACTGATCCTGTCAGAGAAATCTCCTTGAAAAATGTGCAGTCAGGTAACCATCCTGTTTCTTGCTCTGTACCCACTTTTAATAGTCTCCCCTGTTTGGTCCCCTATGCTCCCTGGATTAGAAATGTAAAATATAATTGCAGAAGGTACCTTCTTACTCTTTAAATTCTTGACTCCTAAGTTGAAGATTGGAACTATCAAATGTGTTATGTGATAATACATTTTAAATAAAAAGTAAAATATACATTTGATCCTTATTTGAGTTAGTTTTCATATCTACAAAATTGAGTTTTTTTAAAAAATTGAGGTATCATAAAATAGTTGCATAAAAAATTAATAATAATCTAGTTTCTTAATTTTTTTTCTCTAGCACTATAAAGTTCTAGGAAGTTCAAAGTGTTTTCCTTGCTACTGAGGTAGCTAATTAGTAAAGTGCTTCCTTATAGCTACCTAAAATTAAAAAGTAAAGCTTTGACCTTACTAGTTAGTTTTATTGTGCCCATGGTGGAAAGAACCCAATAGAGATGCATAGGGCAATCACTTTATTTAAAAGTTTCCTGATTCTAAGTCTTTTTCCCTCTATGGGATGTTTCTTGGTGGGGTGGTTTATATTCCTCTTCCTTCCAGTTTGCGAAAATGAAGATTTCTTTCTGCTCAAACTAAAACAATCCATTTCTAGTTGAAGCAAAAATAAATGTTCTAACATTTATTCATGATATAACACTCATTAAATAAATTTGTATTTCAAATTTGTACTATGTACTGGGCAATGCTTTACAAATGAGTCAAAATTTCTCCCTTTGAGGCTTTTACACTAAAGAGGAGAGACATTATCAGTAAAAATAAAAATGCATGTTATGTTAAAAGATAATGAGTGTCATAGTGTGGATATTAGCATTAACAGGGTGAGCGGGAAAGGAGTGTTGCAGGTGTCCCTGTTATTTTAAGTAGTCTAGTGGCCCAGGTAGGCTTCCATAAGAACAAGGGATTTGAGCAAAAAGCTTAATGAGAACAGGGGAATAAGTCATTGTTTTTATCTGAGGGGAGGAATATCCCAGACTGGGGAGTAGAAACTGCAGAGTCTGAGATGAGAGAGTGGTTGGCATATTAAAAAAAACAAAACAAAAAAACAACAACAAAAAAAAAACCAGAAAGGAAGCTAAATTGACAGAGAGTGAGCAGTGTACTGAGGGGATTGGTAGAAGATAAAGATGAGAGGTAACAAGGGATATCAATATATAAAGTAAAAGTATTTGATAAAATTCAACATCCAATCTTGATTTAAAAATCTCAGAAACTAGAAATAGAGAAAACTTCTTTAAATTGGTAAAGGATATCTATGAAAAACCTAAAACTAATACCATACTTAACAGTGAAAGACTGAATACTTTCCTCCTAAGATCAGGAACAAGGTAACAATTTCAGTGGTACCACTTAAATTCAAAATTGTGCTGTAATAGTGTCTATACTTAATAATGCTATGTTGTATATATGAAATATGCTAAGAAGGTAGATCTTATATTAAGTTCTCTGCAATAGACTGAATATTTGTGTTCCCCCCAAATTTATATGTTAAAATCCTTACCCCCAATGTGATGAAGAGAGACAAGCAGGAAAAGCCACTCCATAGAGAATAGTGGATTCTCCTCATGAGAGAAGGAAGAGAGACCCCAACCATCTCTAGAAGTTGAGCTTATATATGTTTGTGGTTTCTATGGAAAATTGCTGGTATGGGGAAATAGAGAATAGCAAAAAGTTTGGATTAACTTTAACCTTTATAAGGTATATTGTGTGGCCCTTATTGTATGGGTAAACAATAAGGTGTGGGTGAGAAGCTATTAATCAACCTTTGAAGGAATTTTCCTTATCTGGAAGTTCTTTGAGGTCTCCTTGCATCTCCAGTCAGTCCAGTTCCATGTCAGACAGCATGTAGCAGACCCCTGACTTAGCTTTGTTTGACTTAGTTAATTTATATAGTTCTCATGTCCCTAACCTATATTAAAGGTAATAACAGAAATAATGTAAAGAGAAATATTGGCTTATACATAAGAGAAATGAATTAACAGCAATGTTCTAAGTGATGGGAGGGAGGAATTGGGAGTACTCTTATATAAGGTAACTACACTACCTGTTATTTCAAAGTGAACTTAGATTAAGTTTAAAGATATGTTTCAAACTATAGGATACTTTAGTTTGAAAAAATGTTAAGAAGAATAATGGATATGCTAAGAAAAGAAAGAATAAAGAATCATGTAAAATGCTCAATTAAAACCAGAGAAGACAGAAAAAGAGGGGAAGATAGAAACAAAGAACAAATGCAACAAATAGAAAACAGGTACAATACAGCAGGGTACTAAAATCAAACTACATCAATAATCACTTTAAATGTGAATGGACTAAAACCATCAATTAAAAGGTAAACATTAGCAAAGTGAATAAAAAGATAAGACCCAATTATATGTGCTTACAAGAAACTCACTTTAAATATAAAGGCACAAATAAATTAAAAGTATAGGGTGGACACAGAAAACTGAAGAAAATATTTACAAATCACATATCTGAAGAGGGACTGACATCCAGAATATGAAAGAACTAAAATTCAACAACAATAACAAAACAAAAAAAAGACACCCAATTGAAAATTGGGCAAAGGTCCTGAATGACATTTATCCAAAGAAGATATACAGATGGCCAATAAGCCCATATGAAGATATTCAACATCATTGGGGAAATGCAAATCAAAATCACAGTGAGGTACCACTTCACACCCACTAGGATTACTATAATTTTTTAAAAAACAGAAAATAACAAATGGCAAGGATATGGAGAAATCCTAACTCTTGTGCACTGCTGATGGAAATATAAAATGGTGCAGGCACTTTGGAAAATATTATTGTGGTTCCCCCAAAATCTAAAAAGTAGAATTTTATATTATCCAGCAATTCCATGTCTGGGCATACACACAAAAGAATTTAAAGCAGTGAGTTAAACAGATATTTGTACAATCGTGTTCATAATAGTCAAAGGTGGAAGCAACCCAAGTGTTCATTGACAGATGAGTGAATAATCAAAATGTGGAATATGTATATATACAATGGAATACATTATTTAGCCTTATAAAGGAATAAACTTGTGATACATGCTAAAACATGGATAAACCTTGAAGATATTATGCTAATAAGCCAGACCCAAAAAGGCAAATATCTATGTAATGAAATACATAGAATAAGCAAGTGCATAGAGAAATACATAGAATAAGCAAGTGCATAGAGACAGAAAGTAGAATGGTTACCAGGGGCTGGGGAGTAGAGAATGGGTAGTTATTATTTAATGGGTACAAAGTTTCAGTATGGGATGATGAAAATGTCGTGGAGATGGATCGTGATGATGTTTGCTTAAAAATCATTCAAATGGTAAATTTCACATTATGCATATTTTACCACAATACAATAGTGAAGGGATAAAGAAAGACATACCATGTAAAAACTGATCAAAAGAAAGTTGGAGTCGCTATCTTAATGTCAGAAAAAGCTGATTTCAGAACAGGAAAATTATCAGGGATAAAGAGTTCATTACATAATGATAGAGAAGTCAATTCACCAAGAAAACATAACAACCATTAACGCATAGGCACCTAACAACAGAGTGTCAAAAACTGATAGACTGGCAAGGAGAAATAGACAAACTCACTATTATAGTTGGAGATTTCAACACCCCTCTATCAGTCACTGACAGATCCAATAGGCAAAAAGCCAGCAAGGATATAGTTGACCTGAATAGCACCATCAATCAGCTGGACCTAACTGACATTTCTAAAACACTTCATCCAACAACAGCAAGAGTACACATTTTTCTTAATCTCACATGGAATATTAAACAATATATCCCACATTCTAAGATATAAAACAAACCCTCAACAATTTAAAAGAATAGAAATACAAAGTATGCTCTCAAACCACAGTGAATTTTAAACTAGAGATCAATAGCAGAAGCTGGAAAAAAAATCTCAAAATGTTTGGAGATTAAACAACATATATCTAAATACCACATGGGTCAAACAAGAAGTTTCAAGACAAATTTAAAATATTTTAAACTAAATTAAAATGAAAACACAAGTTATGAAAAATTATGGGATGCACCAAAAGCAGTGCTTCGAGGAAATGTATAGAATTAAAAATGTACATATTAGGAAATAAGAAGCTCTAAAACTGATAGTATAGGCTTCTACCTTAAATAACTAGAGAAAAAAGATAATATAAACTTAAAATAGACAAAAATAACAAATATTGGAGCAGAAATAAGTAAAACTGAAAACAGGAAATCAATAGATAAAATCAATGAAATCAAAAGTTGATTATTTGATAAAATTGATAAACCTCTAGCTAGGCTAATTAAGAAAAATGGGGACTTTTATAAAACACAGCAGGTGGCTCAAGGAAGTTGTAGGAAGGCCAGAGCATCAGGTTTGGGACACTGGAGCTAGAAACAGACCCAAACTACCCCAGTTCCATAAGCTGCAGGCTGAGGTGCATGCAGGCCTTGCGAAGTCTGGGGAGGAAACAGACTCTATTCCTTCATCTGTAAGACAGTCATGGAGCACAGACAGTGTGCCGGCAAGGTACAGCAGACCCCACCCTCACTGTTCTCATAGAGTTTATGTTCCAATGGGGAGGAGGCCACAGGATGCCAACAGAGAAGTGCCTCGGCCTTACTGAAGAAGGCGAGGGGGTGGTCAGACCCTTTACCAAGGGTTCTCTGTGATGGAGGCTCTCTGTCAGTCCCTGCTCAGTGACCAGGTCTGCCACTGCCAGGATAGCAAGAGCTGGGGTCTGGGTATGAGGCTGGCCTCTGGATGGGCAGGAGCTGGCACAGGAACCCAGCCCCTTGAAGGGATGTTGTGGGAGAAATGTGTGAAAGGCCAGGCCTTTGACTCAGCATCATCTCCTCCATCCTAGGCACCTTGCCGGACCTCATT